AGGGCCATTTAAGATTCTTCGGACTACTGGCAATGTTGCTTATGAGTTGACCTTATCTCCTTATTTTCAGCTATTCATCTTGTTTACCACATTTGGTGCTTCACCAATATATTGCTGATGAGTATCATGTGCTCTGATCTGACTCAATTTAGTTGGATGATAACACTCAAATTACTTGTAAAATAATTAAACAAGCAACCGGTCGTTAACAATCTAATTACCTAACTTATGAGGTCGGGACGAATCTCACATGGAGTGAATTATGGAAGAATTCAATTACGAAGTCAAATTGAGATCTAATGCATTATTGCTAGATAGTAACAAGGTTCAAATATAAAATTAAGATTATTTAGTAAGCAAATTTGACAAAATAAACTAAAACAGGTGTTTAACAAGCAAGAGGAAAAATATTAGAAAGAGGTCAATTGGTTCAGTACATAGAGTCTTACTAACCACTAGTATTCGTCTGACGCCTAGAGATAGTTGACACTGGTTGGCTGGAGGATTCGCCAATAGGGTAACCTCATCAATGTGACCTATCCATGACCGTGTTGGTAGCTTGAATCATAGTTGGGATCCCTTTGAGCGTAGGGGAGCATATTGTGTCAAAGTGGAATGATTTCTACTGCGGCAACAAAAAGTCCCCCTTCCTTCCTGGACTAATGTTTGTTCTATGCAGATAAACAGGGGTGCCCTTAAATGACATGGACTACGAGGTAGAGCATGACTATGCATTTAACCCCTTACTAGTAGAAAGGAGCCTTCCTGAGCGCCTAGGAAGAGGATGCTGGACGAGGTCCAGAGAAGGATGTGGACGTTGATACAGACCTTGCCACCACTCTATCCTAGCTCCCGCTATATAGCAAGTGCATGGAGGCTGACTTGGCTTTAGTCATGAGGTACATAGAGGTCGGACCCTAAGACCTGCATGCTCTTTCCCATGGTATAGCCGCGCTCTACAAGGAAATTGATGCTGAGAAGAAGAGAGAGTGTTGTCGTAACCGTCTGTCGGCTTGCATGTGGAAGACCATTAAGGTCATGTTTAGATGTCTCACCCCATAACAAAAACTTCCCTAGTTAGAGCCGTAGGACTTAAAGGAGTTCCCCTTCATGTGCGAGCCCAAAGCAGGAGACCTTGCCCCATTATGGTGATTTCAAAGCACGCATTAGGACTTGTCTTCCCCCCTCTCCTTCCCTCTTTGGATACTTTTGATATTATTTTTGGGTTGCCCTGTTTGGGCATAAGACATCTTTTATGCTTTCCTTATTTTTATAGCACATGGATATTGGATTTTGGAATAGTTTAATCCCTGTATTTATGCTAGAATGTTTGGAATGAAATCCTGTTAGTTTTCTACATTGATATGAACTGAACAGGTGATAGAATCTGGATTGGGAATGTAAGGCAAAACAAGGGGAAAATAGAGTGGAGTCTCTGATTCTCCCTGCTATCATGATTGTCAACCGCTATCGCAGGGACCACTATATCACTTGAGCACATCTATGGCAACTTCTTCTATGGCGAGATACCTTCCTCCATAGAAGGTAATGTGCTTGTTCAGAATGGGGATGAATCATCCCTAGTGATGGAAGTCAAAGAGAAGCAGTACAATGACCCCATCTTACTCTAGTTGAAGGAAGAAGTTCATAAGCAAAAGGTAATAGCCTCTGAACAAGGGGGAGATGGTGAATTGAGGTACCAAGACATGTTATGTGTTCCAAATGTAAATGGTCTTAGAAATAGAATTATGGTAGAAGTGGACATTTCTAGATATTTGATTCCACTAGGTTCCATAAAGATGTACCATGACTTGAGAAAAGTCTATTGGTAGAATGGTATGAAAAAATACATTGTAGATTTTGTTGCTACGTGTCTGAATTGTCAACAAGTCAAAATTGAGAATCAAATGTCATGCGGCATGGCTCAAAATATAGCTCTCTCTGAGTGTAAATTGGAGATGATCAATATGGACTTCATTACTGCTTACTGCAATCTCGTCGACAACATTACTCGATTTGGGTAATTGTAGATTGAATGACCAAGTCAGCTCATTTCTTATTAGTAAACACTACATACTCAGCATAAGACTATGTCAGATTGTACATCCATGAGATAATCAGATTTCATGAAGTTTCAGTATCCATTATTTTAGATAGGGGTGCTCAGTTCATCGCTTAATTTTGGAAGTCATTTCCAAAAGGTTTGGGTTGGAATGTGAACTTTAGTACTGCTTTTCATCCTCTGAAAAATGGCCATGCAGAGTGTACTATTCAGACGCTACAAGATATGTTGAGGGCTTGTATCATTGATTTCAAGGGAAGTTGGGATGACCATTTTCCTCTCGTAGAGTTTGTGTTCAATAATAGTTACCACTCCACTATTTAGATGGCTCCTTATCAGGCTCTTTATGGGAGAATGTGTAGATCTCCAATTGATTGGTTCGAAGTTGGTGAAATGGGATTGATAGGGCCACACTTAGTTCATCAAGCTATGTAAAAGGTTAAAATTATATAGGAGAGGTTGAAGACTGCCTAGAGTCGTTAGAAGTCCTATACTGATGTTAGGTGCAGGGACTTAAATCGAAGTGGATGATTGGGTTTACTTGAAGGTTTCACCCATGAAGGATGTCATGAGATTTGGAACGAAAGGGAAGCTCAGTCCTTGCTATATTGGTCTGTATAGAATTTCAAAGAGAGTTGGTAAAGTAGCTTATGAGTTAAGGCTACCCGCAAAGTTAGAAGCAACCCATCCGATGTTCCACATTTCCATTCTTAGGTAGTGTATAGGTGACCCTTCACTCATTGTGCCTATAGAAAATGTTGGGGGTGAACGAGAGCATGTCATATGAAGAAGTTCCAATTCTTGATCGTTAGGTTCACAAGTTGAGAACAAAAAATGTTGTGCCAGTAAATGTTTTGTAGAGAAATCAGTTTGTTGAAAAGGCTACGTGGGAAGTCGAAGAGGATATGAAAGCTAGATACCCACAGTTGTTCATTCCCCATGATGAAGATACCAACGGTAAGAGTCTTTTTTTCTATTTCAGATTCAATACATATGCTTTGTGTTTGAGTGTTTTAGTTCCCACAAAATATTTGTGTCTGGTGTCTTCTTTCAAGCGGTTATGACCTCAATAAAGGAGTTCAGTTCAGGGAAAGTTAGTTGAGGTTGTTACCCTAGCTTGGCCATCAATTGAGGACGAATGATCCCAAGGGGATAATGTAATACCTTAGATTTCGAACTTGCGAATAGTAAGCGCGCAATTAGCATAAAATCCAGCCTACAACTTTAGTACCAAGTTCCATGACATGCATCCACGAGCCGTGGATTATGTTCGTGAAATAGGATTAAAGAGATTGCATAATGTGTGAGTTTCACGAGGGAGTTTCGTGAGCTGTGGATCATTCCATGAGCCATGGAAGGTCCTTGTGAACTCGATCCTGGAAGTTGTCAAAAAGTCTGAGTTCCATGAAGTCACTTCACGATCCGTATATCATCCCATGATCCGTGGAATGGTCTCGTGGATAAGAACCTAAAGATGGTAGAATCGTCGGAGTTCCATGGAGGGATTCCACAAGCCATGGATCATTCCACCTCTTCCTATTTTATTTTTTTTGCAACACCGGCATGAACCATGAATGGCGAGAACATGTTGATACTCTATCATCCCCTTGGAAGTTGTAATTACTGAGCATATAAAGAGAAAACATAAAGTTAGAATGTGCTCAGAAAATAGGAGACATACAAGCTGGGGGAATGAAGTAGACAACAACAACAACTACGCCTCAGTCCAAACATAAAAAAATAGTTTGTTCTCACCACTAAAAGGATAAGCTTCAGCAAGCAACACGAGATACATTATCAGCCGAGTGCTGTTCCTGCAATTTAGTAGCAGTCTGCACTACAAGTTTTGACAAGAAAAGTAGTTTGCACTTCAATATCTTTAGTAGTTAGCATCAACAAATATATACTAGTCCGATTTATCTTCTTGCAGCTACTGAATATTCAACATAAAATCTTTCTTTTTCATGATTAACAGGAACCCCTGAAGATTTTAGGGATACTCCACAGCTACTACCACCATTTTGGACATCCTTTATTTTATTCTTGACTTTCAAAACAAGAAGTTATTGCCATGCTTAAGCTCCTCAAAGAAAGGGTGTCGTTAAGGATCTTCTGGACAGAAATGAATCCCCAACTTATTTGACTGTAAAGTCCGAGCCTAAAATTACACAGAGCATCAATAAAAGATCAGATTCCCTACAATCAATTGACATCAAAGTTCTTACATGTTTATACATCCAACTAGTCACCCATTTTTATAATAAGTAGTCAGCAATTAGTATTAATTCACACTTGTCGTCACTACGTTAAACGTACTGACATGATTTAAGTAATATTATTCGCTTTTATATGTTTACCTAAACAACTCACAATATAGGATATGACAAGGCTGGATCAAGATCTATAGCTTATGAGGAAAGGAGAAAGTTATCATCCATCATTCATGATTCAGATTTAGTTACAACTGTACTTGAATAAGTGTCCTCTTCTTGAATTAAATAGCAACATTTTTGAGTTCTTCCACTAAATAGTCTACCAACTCCTATCTATTAAAACAAAAAAATTCAGAAGTAAATAAAACAAATGATTGTAGAATGCCAATCATCTTCAAAGCAGTTAAATAAGATTTTCTTGAATGTTATGCAATGGTTCAATGACGTACACGAATCTGCAGTAAACTTACCATTTCAGATATAAACCAGTACCACCCGCAGCTTTTGGAACATGGTCCACACCAAAGATATATCTGGTACTTCGCCTTGCATCCGCAAATAGAATGTCCAACAGGATATTGAAATGACATACACAAAGGAAAGAAGAAAAATGTTCAGCATTAGAAGACTGAAAACTTTAAGCACACAGTAATAACATACAATAATCCACTCAATATGAACACCTTAACAGAATTAGCAAGAGATCGATGCAATCTAATAGAGAACTATTTAGAAGATGCAAGGCCAATTCCACGAGGCATTTTTTTCGAGCTTGAGTCTTCAACGTCTTTCAACTGATAATAGTGAGGAGCTACTTCTACAAGCCATTCTGGTTTCAATTCAGTTACCTGCCGCATGTATTCCTTAGTTGTCAGGACCAGCTCATGGTAGACAACCCATCTAGGAAGTACCTGTGATAAACCCGAGCTTGGATGAATGTAACCTGTCTGGGGATGTTTAACAGTTCGATAAGCTCCATTCTTCTGTAGCCTTGCTGAGTGGGGAAAAAATCCTGATATTATAGACTTCTTAATAGCTTCCAAGTCATTAACATTTGAAGTCAAATCAATTCCAACCATTTCAAGCCGACCTTCTAACTGATCTCGGATATCTCTAGCCTTTTTCATGCTTCTGACCTGGATATAATTCTCATAGCACCACTGAGTTGAAAATTTTGTTTCCTTCCAGGAATTGTAAACCTTAAGCAAAGCAATATGATCTCCCACATTGCCAACATGAAAGTTCATCCACGCATTGTCAGCTTGGACTTGTCTGTCCTTTGGACGATAGAAGATTGAATTCCCGACAGAAAGCATTGCAGCAATACTTGTTATCTCAGCTGAGCACTTGTACTTATCAGAGGCAACTATCATCTTGGACAGCATTGGATCCAGAGGAAACTCGGACATTCTTTCACCTACTTTGGTTAACTTACCACCCTTATCAAGGGAACCAAGTGCAAATAACAGTTCCAGGGCTTTAAGTAGAGCTTCAGCTGGTGGAGGATCCATGAAGTCAAAGTTCAGCAAGTCGGTAATCCCTACGCTTTTGAGTAAGAGCACAACATTTGCAAGGTTAGTCCTTTGTATTTCTGGAATTGTGCTATCTTCCAAATCATTCATGTAGCTATGTTCAGTGTATAACCGGAAGCACTTTCCAGGACTTGTTCGTCCTGATCGACCAGCACGTTGGTTGGCAGATGCCTTTGAGATAGGAGCCACCATCAATGACTCAGTTCCTGTTCGAGGGTTGTAACAATTGATCTTACAAAACCCTGTATCAATAACATACTTGATCCCATCAATCGTCAACGATGTCTCAGCTATATTTGTAGCCAGGACAACTTTACGAGCCCCTTCAGGAGTAGGCTCAAATATCTTGGCTTGTAGTTCAGTTGGTAAGTTTGCATATATTGGGCAGGTTATCAACTCAGCTATTTTCGTTCCCAAAGCTCTTATTCGGCGATTAATAATATTCTCAGCTGTTTCAATCTCCTCCTGCCCCGTCAAAAAGATTAATATATCACCATCACCCTGTGGTTGAGTTGCATGAATCTGAAGTGCAGTAACTACTGCTGCATTCAAGTAATCAGAGATTGGTGCTTTTAAATGATGTTTCTCAACCGGAAATCGCCTTCCAGGTATATTAAAAATCGGAGCATGGTCAAAATAATCACTGAACTTCTCTGCATCAAGGGTGGCGCTAGATATAAGAAACTTGAGATGTGGTCGAGCACGAGCTACATCTTTTATCAACCCAAACAGGATATCCGTTGACAATGTTCTTTCATGAGCCTCGTCAATCATTATAACACTATAGCTTGCTAAATCAGGCTCGGTAAGGAATTCTCTCAGCAACATTCCGTCAGTCATATACTTGAGAATAGTTTTCTCAGAAGTACAATCCTCGAAACGAATAGAATAACCAACCTCGTGACCAAGTTTAACCCCCATTTCATGTGAAACACGCGCAGCAACTCTCATTGCCGCAACTCTTCGAGGCTGAGTACAACCAATCATCTTCCCACTGCTTCTAGTAAAACCTGCTTCATGTAGATATTGAGGTATTTGAGTTGTCTTCCCGGAACCCGTTTCTCCAACTATAATAAGAACTTGATGATCATGAACAGCTTGGAGCAAAGCATCCTTGTACGGATAAATTGGTAAATCCTTCCTATCCTCGTTAAGTTTCGAATTTCTGGTACATTGCAGCTTCTCATTATCAACATCTGAATCTGAATCAATTATAGTTGATTTGATGAATTCAATTTGATCTTCAAACACAAATTGATAATCCTTCTGTTTTCTGTCTTTAGATCCAAAATTAAGTTTCGCATTGTTGATTTGATTTTCCTCCCAAGCTTGTTGTGGATGAATCTCACGTTCCTCACCGGCGTCGTGGCACTGCTGCTCCTTACTAACCAATTCAACAATTTTTTGCTTGTATGAATTTTCACGTTTTTCTGGTTCGCTCAATTTTTCGATTTTCTCAAACAAAAATTGCTCATCTTCTATATCATCTCTGAGTTGCTTTAATTTCTTCTTCTCCCTATTCTTCAAATACTCCTGCCTTGAAACTTTCCTCAAATTTTCAACTTGTTCAGTACGCTTTCCCTTCAACTTAACATCTTCGTCTTCGTCTTCACCGGCCATCTTCCTCTTTCTGCTCTCAAGCGTTGGGCTCGATTTCTCCATTGTTGCAACTTTGTGATCAGAAAACGGCAAAACAATTTGATTATATTTTACTTGAATGGCAAGGCATGCAATTCCGATGTGACTTTTTGTCCCCCTAATTTTAATGTGAGTGGGAATAAGAAAAAGTTCTCTAAAATATGCGTTAGACACATTTTGACTTGATTTTTTCGTTTTTCTTGTTGAACACATTAACTTGGAGGCCAAGTTTATTTTCCGCTTCAAGTATCATTAAAATTCTGTGCAGTATAAATGTTTTTTGTTTCTTTATATTTAATTGGTCATATTTTGAAAATATTTTTTTTCTATAAAAGTAAATTTCTTAAATGAGAAAAGTGAATGTAAGTAACAAAAATAATCTACTAATGACGTTACACATTAGTTATAGGCATAATACATAAATATGACCCTTAACTTGGCGTCAGCTGGCAACTATGACCTTTAACTTTGGTGTGTACAAGTAAACACTTAAACTTGTATAAAATTGAACAAATAGACACATTCGTCCTACATGACACGCTACATGAAAATTTTGTGTCTATTTGACTAGACATGTCTCCTTTACCCGGGAGGGGGGGCGGGGGGCTTCCCGCAAAGAAGTCTTGCTCTGGCTTGCCGCAGATAATCTATTATTTTCTCCTTCAAATATGGATTGATGGGATAACCCCTTCCGATCCAAAATTAAAGAGGTAATAGTTGTAACCTGTTTGGTTTACAAGCAGCCGCCTTTAGTCTTTCCCATCGTGGTGACTGAGTAGATATCAGACAAAGACCAAACTTGATAAGTTTTTAAATACTTAAAAGACTAAAACTGATAAATGTATAGTTAAGGGATTAACATTGATAAATGTATAATTAAGCGATAAAATCTGATAACTTTTTGAATTGTTAAAGGACTAAATTACCCGACAAAAGTATAGTTAAGGGACCATTTTAGACCTACTCATATAGTTAAGAGATTATTTATGGCATTTTCTTTAGATCCTTTCATGGAGAATTGTTGAAAGTGGAAGAACAAGTTTATTTTCTCAACAAAAAAAGGTTATGATGGTCGACAGGGGCTGACCCATCGTTGGCCAAGGGGTGTCAGATTTCATTGAGTTACTTGTTATTTCATTGACTTGGAGTTTAATATGGAACTAAGTGAGAGATTAGAATCCTTCATAGGCTGATTAATAGTTTGATTAACCATTAAGTAGCGTAAACCCATCGGCAACTCACTTAATTAAAGATAAAAAGTGAGTGCACTAACAATTTAAAATAGAAAAAAAATACCCCCATTGAGCATCTCATATCTATAGTACAATTAATTAAGTGAAACAATTTGATTTTCTTATTTTGTAATGTAAAGTATATTGGATTGTGTTCTCATACATCTTATCTTTTAATTAAACAAATGATAAAGTTAAGTACACTACACCTTTGTTCCCCATTTAGAAAAAGTAAATCATTTGGACAAAAACCACTGAAAGTGTTTAAATAGAGAAACACTATTTTTAGTTGTTAAAAGGGTTGGAAAGAGGGACCCCCTCTCGCCATTGTCATCTCTCGGCTCGGCTTCGGAAATTGATCGAGAGATTATTCTTTGGACAAAGTTTGTTTTGATTATTTATTTAATTGATTAAATTAAATGACTGGAACGTTTTTGATTATTTAAGTAATTAGCCAAACAGACCTGACCGAAACATTTTTAATTATTTAAATAATTAGCCAAAACAACCCGACCCAACTCTGATCCGCGCGCCCCGTGTTTAAAACGTCTTTCCCGTTTGAAAAACATGAAAGTTGTGGATATTAAGAGACAAGAGTAGCAATTGAATTGGTAAATTAGATAGTATAAGTCATGGGACTCGTAAGTTATGAAGGTAATATTTAAAAAAATAAAAAATAAAATAATAAATAAATGTAGATGAGAAAAAGATAAGTGCAAATAATATTTAGGTGAAATATCCACTAAAGGTGGAATTTCAAAGGACCAAAATAGATAAAGAGAACAACTTATGTATTAGTGTTAAGTGTGCTAGTCCAATTTCAAACTCTGCATGATTATTGCCCATCAAACCTACTAGTTAATCAGTTAAATTTTAGCTAAAGATAATTGAAAATCGTTCTTGTTCATTAAAAAGGTGAAAGAAGAAACAAGTAAGATGATTGTTTAAATCATGACACATATAGAAGAGATTCAAGAGAAGACAACTCAGTTAAGAAACACACCCAAAAAAATATTCTTTTAGGCCTCAGTTGCATTTATAACAAGCATGACAATATTCTCTCGATAGGCACCAAAACTATCAAGATTCCTGATTTTGGGCTCTCCATGACTGTGGAACAAGGCACGAACCATTGCAGGGACTTATCATGGAACAGAAAGGTATATGGCACCTGAATCCATGAGGAAAACATAAGTTGTAAAATATCCGAAAGCATGATTTTGCCTCTCCATTTGAGAACCCCCTCCAGGTGTCATGAGAGGTAATTATTTTTTTCTACCAACTATTATGAAGATACATACTCAAATGTCAACAAATCATATATATTCTTACACTGTAAAGTGATTTCATTCAAAATAGAAAGAAGGTTCTCATTCATAAAAATAAATATCAACATTAATTCATTGTAAAAGCAGAAAGGGGAACTCATTTATCAAGATTTGTAATGATTCCATATGGTTAACTATGATAATGAACAACTCGAATATTGCATTGGCCACAAATTCCCTTGTTGCTATTTTTTGCCATCTTATACTAATCTGGTAGCTCTCGAGACAACATTGTTCAGCGCTCCTTCATTTTCTCTGGCTATCATGGCTATCTCATTTCAACCTCATTCTGACATCTCCCCCCAATCATGTCTATCTCCATATCAATCACTTTGTTGCTTCCCCCTTCAGCACATTTGTCTGTATCCTGTCTCATGCGGTAAAATAATCCCCATAGAAAGTGCTCGTTGTTCCATCCTACAAAAACATCATAAAGGTGAGATGCATTGAAAGGGAATAAGAAAATGAGAAAATAACATAAAGATTATAAATGTACTTTGAGAATCACTGCACAAGGTTGTGGATGCAAGAATAAACAACTCAACATCATTGATAAGAGTTCTCATCACCAAATCCTTGTTGTGCATGAACTCCACCAAATCAATATATCTCCCAGACCTACATATAACAAAAAATGCAAATCAATTTCTAGTAAAAACAATTATGGGCAAAGGGCGCACTTTTACTTTGCAACCCTTATCCCTTTTCAGATAGATATATAGGGTAGAATCTGACCTATTTCTCTCACTTTTGAAGAAATACAGTCCTATGTCTTCTTTACCCGGACACTGATTATCGAATAAACTTGGCCAGATATCCCCAAGCGGAACTAGTTCAAGTTTAAGAGTATCGGGCAATAGTCCTGAGAGCTCATACACTTTACGTCTAACTCTGCAAGGAGGATGAGCTTGGATACAACAATTGAATATCCCAGGTGCAAGTTCTAGAGCACCTAAGATGTCAACACTTCCCCTAAGATGCAAAAATATAAAATAAGAAAGACTAATTATTATAGGGAAGCGAAGTTGAGTAGTGAAAATTCTCCAAGTAAAAAAAGGATCTTCAATATATATGTTGTCTATAAAATAATTAAAGGGAAACTTCTCTGCTTTTTGATGCATAACGAAAGCATATTCGAGTTTCAAGGACACAAAAAGATTCATGTAGCAATTTCTCAGACACAAAAACATAAAGAGAAAGTTTCACATAAAGCTAAACGTTGTTTTTCACTATAAATTTCATGAAGTTACAGTACTGAAAAAAATAAATAGAAAACAAACAATGTATGGTTCACATATAACCTACTCAACTACAATTTCTTGTTTCCCATATCTGAAAACATGAAATGGTCCATATTCCATAATACAATGACATAGAGTGGCAACAACTTCAAATCCTCAAGGAATTTATACATAATAGGAATGCAAGTTTACTACCATCTCACTAAACATTATCCATTCAGAGTATCATTATGTCACGACTCGCAACTATGTATGAGCAAAACTCTTTTCCATAGTAAGGCATATATTCTATGGTTCCCTATTCATTTTTAGTGATACTAATGGCTTCCCTAGGTACCCATTAATTTTATGGGCAACCTAGCAAAAAAAAAAAGCTAGCATGCAAAAACAGAGATGAGCTCAATTTAAACATTTTTGGAGCTCAGTGTACCCTGTGATAACATATGTTTGTAATTAATGTGCATTTATGAAGGGTACTTACTTCCAAGAAGGAACTAGAGCAGAATCGCAAGGGTGTGTCGTAGGTGAATTCATCATTTGACTCTCGTTCACAACATTGGGAGTCCTATGCTCAAGAATGGTAGAGGCACCCGGACCTAAAAAAATAGGCTACATCAAATTGAATAGAACTATAGAAGTAAATTATTTTTTCTATGAAAGCTTTACAAATATTGACAATGTAACAAAGATCATTTCGAAAGATAATATCAACATCATTGAAAAAATAATAATTAGAGTATATGATAGAAAATAATTTTTTTGAAGAATAGAGGTATAAGAAGAGGACAAATCAAACCAAGTAAATGAATACAAAAGATGATGGTGAACACTTAACCTTTAGGCTTGCTAAATTTTCGGGATTTGGTTGAGACAACTCTTGAGGGGACAATATTTGTTGGCGGTGATCCATATTTCTTGATACGTGATGACAAACCAAGTGCTTCTTCAACAAGTAGATATCTCGTTTTCCCGGTCCGTACTTCTTTTTCCCAATTAATATGTTGCCTCCGAGGAAACTTATTATGTTTCTTTGGTTGTACAACACTCTGACAAATCTTTGTAGAGGCATGTAACTTGGATTCCTTAAAACGCTCATTTTCTAGTCCACGTTGTGAAAATATTGCCCCCTTTCGAATATCACATTCTTCACAACACCAATCCACTGGTGCATCTTCCCAATAGCCCATAACACAATATCTGAAAGGAAGAAAAAAATAATTATTTTTTAGAACAAGAAGATGACTATGTATGC